CGAGTCCTACTTAATGTGTTCAGACCAAGGTTATTATACACTGCTCAAAAAATAAAGGGAACACTTAAACAACACAATGTAACTCCAAGTCAGTCACACTCCTGTGACATCAAACTGTCCACTTAGGAAGCAAACTGATTGACAATCAATTTCACATGCTGTTGTGCAATGGATGGAAATTATAGGCATTAGCAAGACACCCCCAATAAGGAGTGGTTCTGCAGGTGGTGACCACCGACCACTTCTCAGTTCCTATGCTTCTTGGCTGATGTTTTGGTCACTTTTGAATGCTGGCGTGCTTTCACTCTAGTGGTAGCATGAGACGAGTCTACAACCCACAAGTGGCTCAGGTAGTTCCCAGGATGGCACATCAATGCGAGCTGTGGCAAGAAGGTTTGCTGTGTCTGTCAGCATAGTGTCCAGAGCATGGAGGCGCTACCAGGAGACAGGCCAGTACATCAGGAGACGTGGAGGAGGCCGTAGGAGGGCAACAAACCCAGCAGCAGGACCGCTACCTCCGCCTTTGTGCAAGGAGGATCAGGAGGAGCACTGCCAAGCCCTGCAAATGACCTCCAGCAGGCCACAAAGTGCATGTGTCTGCTCAAACAGTCAGAAACAGACTCCATGAGGCTGGTATGAGGGCCCGACGTCCACAGGTGGGGGTTGTGCTTACAGCCCAACACTGTGCAGGACGTTTGGCATTTGCCAGAGAACACCAAGATTGGCAAATTCGCCACTGGCGCCCCATGCTCTTCACAGATGAAAGCAGATTCACACTGAGCACATGTGACAGACGTGACAGAGTCTGGAGTTGCCGTGGAGAACGTTCTGCTGCCTGCAACATCCTCCAGCATGACCGGTTTGGCGGTGGGTCAGTAATGGTGTGGGGTGGCATTTCTTTGGGGGCCGCACAGCTCGCCAGAGGTAGCCTGACTGCCGTTAGGTACCGAGATGAGATCCTCAGACCTCTTGTGAGACCATATGCTGGTGCGGTTGGCCCTGGGTTCCTCCTAATGCAAGACAATGCTAGACCTCATGTGGCTGGAGTGTGTCAGCAGTTCCTGCAAGTGGAAGGCATTGATGCTATGGACAAACTGCATTGTTTCCACATTCTACACGTTTACGGTTTTGCAGCGTGTGTGAGCTAGTCGAGGACCCAAACGCCGGACACCAGAGCTGAGCAGACAAAGTCCAGTGATTTATTAACCAAAAACATGCACACTTACAGTGGCTGAGTCCAAAAGTAAATCCAAAAGGCAAGATGATAATAATCCACAAGCTGGCCAGGCAGACGGAACATGAGTCAGAGACGAACAGATGTTACAAAGCATCCATAAGCTACAAGCAATAAACCACATTGATCCCACACCAACTGAACGGAACATAGGCATTAAGTAGTGAGGCAAACAAGCGGTGGAACATAAAACAGGTGGATAATATCAAGGAGAAAAGAATAGGAAGCAAAGCTAAACACAGACAGCTTCAGAATAAAACAGGAAGTAAAGTACACGGGAACACACCAGGACAGCTCTACCAAAGTAAAACACAAAAGATGGAAAGACTGCAAAATCAGGGCATGGACTGAGACCGGATCAAACAGGAGACAGGACTACGCAAAAACATGGAGACAATAGGACTAAGGACTTGAACAGGTAAAAAAAACATGCAGATAAACTAAGCTACAAAACTCTAAACAAGACAAGATCAAATAATGAAACACAGAAATACAGACCAGGAATAACATGAACTAAAGCACATAACTAAGAACTAAGGCAAAGAACTAAAATGCAAGACTAAGAACTAAGATAAGAGACAAGACAGATCCTAAGTAAACCTAAACATGCAAATATAATAATAATAATAATAATAATAATAATAATAATAATATAATAATAATAATAATAATAATAATACAAATAGTAACAAGGCTACACAGAAACACAGAACCAAAAACAAGTTAAATAGGATCAACAAAACAAAGAGCAACATGGGCAAAACAGTAGAACACCAAAAACAGATCAGAATCCTTAACTCATAACTGCACGTCCTATTCTGACATTTCTAAACTAATAAAAACTCTTCAAAAAGCTTCTTAGAGATGAAATAGTCAATGCTGTACTGCACTAGAGGACAAGTCATGGATCAGTAGGATTCATCCTCTGACCACCATTAATGTCTGTACCAAAGTTCATGGTAATCCATCCAGCAGCTCTTGAGATATTTCACCTCAAGCAGAACCATGGCTCAGGGTGGGCGGCCATCTGCCTCGACCGGTTGGGGGTGAAGGAGAGAGAGAGAGAGAGAGAGAGAGGAACAGAGAGAAAAAGAGAGGGATGGAAAGAGAGAGAGAAGGGAGGCAGCCTACACAATATACACACAGCGGTACAGACAGGTTTTAACATCCTGAAGGCACATTTGAAGTTTAGCTAACTGTTGAGTTTCATCTGGCTTGATTGATAGATATAACTGATATAACTATGAAAGTTTATGGAATATTTCCTGATAATATTGCCTAAGGGAAGCATATATAAAGTGAACAGGATTGGTCCGAGGACAGATCCTTGTGGAACTCCATGACTAACTTTGGCATGCATGGAGGACTCATCGTTAACATGTACAAACTGAAATCGATCTGATAAATAGGACTTAAACCAGCTTAGAGCGGTTCCTTTAATGCCAATGAAATGTTCCAGTCTCTGTAATAGGATCTGATGGCCAGTGGTATCAAATGCAGCACTAAGATCTAATAAAACCAGTACAGAGACAAGTCCTTTGTCTGATGCAATAAGGAGGTCGTTAGTAATTTTCACCAGTGCTGTCTCTGTGCTATGATGA